CAGTAATACTGGTTACAATCAGTTAACTCTGACATGTAGAAAAATAAATAATTAAATGAAAAACACGCTCAACAAACAGATCTGTCTTAATTGGAATAATTTTATTGAAAGAAGATTTTTTTTTAAGTTTTACAAAATTTACAGCAATTTCAGACACTTATGCAAAGTCAAAAAAGCTTGTTACATTTAAGAAATGACTCAGAAATGTTATGATTGGTGTCTGTGTTAATGCTTTGTTCTAGTTTTCTGTCTTGTCGTCTGTTTTCTTCCTCCTGTCTGCCTGTGCTCCAGCCCCGCCCACTCACACCTGATCCTCATGTATCTTCCCCAGGTGTTTCTTGTTTTAGCTCATTAGTTTTCCCTTTATATTCTGTTCAGTGTCTTCGGTGTTTGTCAGATACTTGTTAACTGTTTATGTGTTCTGTTAGATGTTCAAGTTCGTTTCAAGCCAAAGTCAAGCTTTTGTATTTAGTTTGCTGCCACGTCAGCCTCTTGTTTTCATTTTATTAAATGTTTTTTCCACCTCACTCAGTCCTGCGTCTGGGAATCTTACCTAACCAAGCCACTCATAACACTTACAGAGCTCCATATTTCAGACAGGGCCAAACACACATAGCAAAAGTTGTCTTGCCCAGTTCTGGCCCTCACAATGCATTAACACCATAGCAAAGAATGATGGTCCTTTTTGGTGGCCCAGATGTGGTTTGCCAGATGTGGTCCATGCATGGGCCAGCACCACATAAACTAAACTACAACCAGGTCAGCTGTGGCATGCCATCTTAAAAGCAGTGCCAGACCTGGACCATATCCCGTTGACAAACCTCTTGTCATGCCAGCAGTGCCATCTTAACACCAAATCTGCTATGTAGGAAGGTTCACCTTCAAATATGACAATGACCTAAAGAACACAAATAACTGGTAAATGGACTGTACTTATGCACATTTTTATCCAACCAGGATACTCAAAGCACTTTACAACACATTCTCTGCCCTCATTTACCCATCAATACTCATACATTCATTCAGCACTATAACTATATCTCTCTACAAAACTTATCTGAATAAATCATTCTGTAGAGACTACTTATTGCTTTAGATCATATTCATACACTGATGGGACACACATCAGAGGCAATGAAGGGTTCAGTGTCTTGCCCAGGGACACTTGGAAATCTGACTGAGTAGCTGTGAAATGGAACCCCCAGCTCTCTCAATGGAGGACTCTAAACACTCAGCCGCAACAGAAGACAACACAAGAGTGGCTTAGTGACATCTCTGTGAATGTCCTCGATTGGACCAGTCAGATCCCTGATTTTAAACCCTATCAAGCATCTTCAGAAGTGCCTGACATTGACCAGTTAAGTCTATGTTTTATTGTGTTATATGGTAAGAGCCAAAAACGCTGTTATGAAAGCGAAATTGGAGCAAAAACGTAAAGTCTGTTTATTAACAAAATGAGTTCAGGCATCAAATAAAATTTTGGGCAAACATGCCAAGTTGTATGGACTGTCCATAATTTACACAAATTTTCCCTCATTTTGCAGGTATACGGAGGTATAGAGCAATCTCAGATTTATTTTTGAGTTTTACAGATTTTAAAAAATCAGTTTCAAATTGATTTCACATGTCAGAGCCTGTTGGACATTAAAAACAATAAACATATATACTTGCTCAACCGCTCTAAATAAGTTCTCCAATCCTCATTTCCTCATTTTACAAATGTTTTGCAAAAATTACAGATTTTTGAGGCTCATTATATAGGTAAACATCCAAAGAGGTTGACATGTAAGCTAAAGTGTTAAAAGTATAAACATGAAACAAAACAACGGACTGATATTCAGAAAGTAAACAATTAACAAACATGACAGAAAACAGAAGAATCAAACCGTGACTGAGAAAAAACAGAGTATGACTAAGCCAGGAGAGGTGATATTAATTATATCAACTGGGCTAATTAACAGCTGTGGGACAGGTGAGTAATGAGTAGAGACCAAGCATAAGCATAACTGAAGGACCAATGATCAATGATAGAGGAAGAAAACTAAGAATARTGAAATTTGAAGAATATCTACATCAACAAGGCAATGTATGACTAATAAAGTATAAACACAAACCCCAAGATAATGACAATCTAATTAAAAATGTTACTGAACACCACTTCAAAAGGATCCAAATTATCTCTTCAAATGAGGAGTTGTATTTTTAACTTGTAGATTTTTAGAAATATTTCCTGCAACGATTGATGCATAGATTGTTTTCATCTTTTATCTCACCCTAAAAAAATATTAGCATTTTTTTAATCCTCAACAAAACCTACAGTAACKCCATTAGGTACATTAAGGGCCCAGCATACTCAATCCAAACAGTCAAATCTCAGTCACAAGATACAAAGGACATTTATTTTTGATATCCACCATTTGGCCACAAATCTYTTATWGATAGAGTGCCAGACTTTTCTGCAGATGGATTCATCCATGTACAATGTCTTGGTTATCTCCATCCAGGGGTTTTTGGCCATTTGACTTTCTTTATAAGTGTCTGGAAGAGTCACACAGATGGTTGTACTTTCTGACTGCCTCAGACAACTGCACCTCAAGTCTCTCCATGTTGTTTGAACGCACAARGGCCCACTTCTGGAACTGGAGTAGTTAAAGCAAAATGTCACCTTTGTTGTCTTGAGTTCTTTTTCACACAAACAAGCACACCCACAAATGTCTAACCAATCACACAATGCTTGGCACATTTGCTTGAGGGAAAAAGTTCAGTATGATTTTGCGGCTTCTGGTGGAATTTCTGGGGTGATTTAATATGCGAGTTCAAGTGCTAAACTGTAAACAGGAGACCGAACAGCCAAAGTTTTGAAGCTGAACAACAGTCAAACATCTGTTTTTCCCAAACTCCACCAACTAGTCTGATCTGAAGCTCTTTCAGGATGCTAATGCAGCACAATAAAAGATCACTATGCTGTTGCTCCTAAACACAGTGTTTTGTGTTTGCGCTGCTTTTTCTCACTCGAGTTTATTTAACAATTTTTCCCCTACATTCTCAGTATTTCTTTGTGTCTGTGCTTTGTATCAGTTATTTGTCTTCAGATCTATGTTAATGTGTTGCCCTCTGATCAGCTATAGAGACAGATGCTGCTCACACATATTAATCTTTCCTCGATGTGACGTGTTTTGATTCAAAGCTGAGTCACTGCTGTTTTTTGATRAGGTATATGTAGGTCAGTTCATTGTTTTGTAAACCTTTCTTTCCCACTGCTTCCCATCTTCCGTTTTGTCTCCAGGGGTGCCAGTCCTGCTGGTCTTGTCCTGACTCTCATAGTGGCCATGACTTACAAGGTGGCAATAAGCTTTGAAGGGTGAGTTTTTTCTTGTCTATCCTGGGAACTGCTCCAATTTTTTATTAAACTGTTTGGTTATTCAGTCCTAGAAAATACACTAAGCCTTACACACCAGGGTTTGTAATCAGGTACTCATTTTTTTGCCTTTAGAAAAACAGTCACATGCTTAATCCATGTACAAAACATGTATTCCACTTTTCTGCATTCAGTAGTGATTAGGTAATTATTCTCCTGCCACTGGGAGAGAGGAAGTAATCAAAAAGTCCTTATCAGATGTTAAACACACCAACAATCAGTTTAAATCAAAGTGACAGAAAAACACTGCCACATAAACAACCCCCAATAAAACATTTTTGCTGCCAGTCATCTTCCAAAAAGTCAAAAGTTTTTTTTTAGTATTTAATGTTTTTAGGACAAAGAGACCAAAATGATTTTAAGATAATAATAAAACAGCAGGATCTGTAAGACAAACTATAAAACATGACAAGCTGATCAGCATTCAAAAATGCAACCAAGGCTGTAGATGTGGGTGGCATGTTTGAATTTGCTTTTTGGATGCTGTCAGAAAGACTTTAGATATTTCTAGGACTGACGTGGGTTGGCGAGCTTCTACAACATCCTCTAGATGTTGGCGAAAATAAATAATTTCTACTTTATTTGTTGATACAGCTTTGTAGGGGAAAGTAAGCATGCACTGAGTGGTTCTGGTTGTGATTTATCTTCTGATCTGCAGGTGGATTGGTAATAAGGAGCATTAGAGAAAAATGCTGACTAGAAGTTTTGACGGTCACCTATGCAGCTGTCGCCCAAAATTACATTTGTCATTTTTCTTTTCTAAAATCCAATGATATTTCTGGATTTATGTCTGTAATAATCTAAGCTGACACAATGCAGATGTTTTAATGTATAGACTGTATAAGAACTGCAAAAGCCCAATTATTCACCGCCGCAGCCATAAAGCTGTCTCTCACAACATGACAGCCCTCTTAACACAAAGATTGTTGGTCATAACYAAAAAAAGAATAACTTGTTAGGGGTAGAAATGTCTGTTGTCACACATCAATTTGTTTAGTCGACTTTTTGATGTATAACTTGTCAAATTTGTAGGAATGAGATTTTGTTTGCAGAAGGTTTAAACAGCTCAAAACTTGGAGTGCACGCCATTGTACTGTAAGTTGTACATGTATTGGTTAAAATATTTAAAATTCATTAAACCTAAACAGCAGTTGTGTCATGTAAGCTCTAACATTATGTGTTCTGTTTAAACTATAAATGGTTTTACTGTTTGTATATATGCAGGAGATAAATCCTGTTTGTGTTTGTGTTTATGTGAAATAATAATAATTATTATTTATTTAATTTTA